CTTTTTTGGGGCTCATATATAGAATCCTATAAGATAACCCCAAAAAAGAACTACTATGGGGCCTATGGGTAACTTAAGAATTAGCATAGGGTTTTGGGGGGGGTATATGGAAACTATACTTATAATAAGGAACCCCTGCGATAGGCTAAGGGTGAACTGTAGGGGCCTTAATCTTAATAGTTAGAATAGGGTTTTGGTGTCTATTACACGTAGCCACAACGCAGCTAGTTACAGGTCATGATGTCAGCAGGCTTTCCGCAGTCTCCCCCGAATGAACCTCTATAGAACTATTTCTCATCACGTTACTAGTTTAGTGCCTCGTGTTGTTCAGTTCAGGGCAATGTGGGGGCCTTAACAATTAGAATAGGGTTTTGGGGGTTCCTTATTGGTATAATATACCTCAAACCTTCTTGGTATAATATACCACAAACCTTCTTTCTCACGATTAGAATAGGGTTTTGGGGGTTCCTTCTTGGTATAATATACCACAAACCTTCTTCTTAACGATTAGAATAGGGTTTTGGGGGTTCCTTCTTGGTAGAATATACCACAAAACCTTCCTCTAATTATAAAGGCCCCTACATTACGGTTCATAACTTCCCCTGCAGCCTCTCAGGCCTTGAGCCATTTTTCAACCTCGAAGTCGCGCGAACATACCCCCAACCTAACCTATGTCAAGCTGTGATCTACCGTAGGATTTGGGCACAAACTTTGCCAGAGACTTTGTGATGCAGAATGTTTTTGGGAAAAATAGGTTCTGGTAGGTTCGGGTACGACGATGTTCGCGACGGCTTCAGACTCTCATTCCTGAAAGGCACCTCCACGTGGCTGTCTAAGCAAACAATGATTTCGCCCTTGGCGTGCCAAACACCTGGCAACCAGATTGGGGCGTTTTTTCTTTTCCAACGCTTCAGGTTCCAGGCTGAGGGATCGATTCTTAAGGTAGTCAAGGAACCCTTATACTGTCAGTGTTGAGGGTTTTTGCGGATTTAGGGTATATAACCCTTAAGGCGGATGGCTCTGAGTATCCGAATTCGGCCAGGGGAGCATGAAGTTGGGGGGCCAAGGGCAAGGGAATTCTGTCTTCTGCGCGGGGTCCCAGTGACCCCTTCTACAGAAGACGGCCCTCGTTGCGAGCGGAATTTCAGCCTGTGGGTTTAGGATTTAGTTTCAAAAATGCCTTACTATATGACCCTAAGGCCCTAAGTGTCGGTGTACCCAAATTATACATGCTTTGGCTCGAGAGTACCCCTGTATCTATGTATACATATATATATATATATGTATATATTTATTTATTTATGTGTTTATACTTTAATGCCCAAATTTAAGTATATGCTGTCGGGGCACATGGACGCTTATAGGGTGACAGCGGACTCGCAAGAAAGGTGCGGCATGATCCAATCGTTTAGCAATCGAAAAGCCCTCTAAACCCTAAACCCCAAACGGATCCTAAACCCGAGCCTGAATCGAAAGCCTGCTCTAGATTGCTAGACCCTCCATACCCATGATTTGGGATCCTATACCCCTAGTTGAGGGCGGCGGTTTAGGATTTCAGACTCTTGAGACCTTGGGGCTTAGGGTCCGGGTCTAGGCCGCGTCGGGCGAGGTCTGGGTACCAACCCCGATTTAGGGTTTAGGGTTTAGGGTTCGGGGTCCCGGCCCAGCGACAAAAGAATACTTACTTGTCCAGTTTCGCAGAGGACATATAGTTATCTTGTTCAAGGGTTATATGTAAGAATAAGGAATTGATAGTACCTCCAAAAAGGTTAAGGTGAGTTACTCTATTAGCAAGGGCAGCTCTGAAAAACCGGCTGACCCTCAGGTGTCCGCCATTTCTGCGCTGCCGCAACTCCAATTGGCTGGGTCTTTTGGGCTTTGTTTTATGGCTTTTGGGGATTCGCGCATAGGGTTTAGGACCTCACATGTAAACTATATGAAGACCACGTGGAAGGGCTGTGAGGTGTAGCTTTCAGCGTTCAGTAGGCCTGAACAACCTGGTCTGAAAAGCACAAACCCGAAGCACTCCACGATAGCCTGCACCACCTTTTCCCTCCTCTTCGCTTTCAAACCAGCGCCAAGGCAAGTTCAAATAGTTTCTATGCCGCCCCAGGACGGAAACACACAAGTTCCAAAGGTCTCAAACCCCCCCCACAGTCCCAAAACCCTAAACCCTAAACCCTAAACAGTCCCAAAACGGCCTTCCATTCTCGCCTTCATGAGCCCTCGCCGGGCCTGGTAAAGAGCTGGGCAAGAGCTTGAAGAATCCCTCAGAAAGCCCTAAACCCTAAACTAAACTCTAAACCTAGGTCCAACACCTCAAAATTCCCCCAAAACCCTGGATCCTTAACGCGTGCAGCCTTTCAAGGTTCGATCATCATTCGTCCTGACAATCTTGATAGAGTTATAGGGTCTAGGGCTTACCTGCAACTCTTTTTACCGACAGTTTAGCAGCCACTAGCCCTTAATTAGTATGTAGAACCCATAAAAATGTAGGTAGTGAACAGTCCCAGGTAGGGCTTAGGGTTTAGGCTTCTGGAGACTCCAGAGCTCTAACAGGGAGCTTCAAAGCGGGGGAAGAGAGCCGACACTTTTCTGCAAGTAAGGGAGATTCCCCAACTTCTAGGAAGGTTCGTCTTCTACTCAAAAACTCTGGGGTTTAGGGTTTTACAGGAACGCTTCGGGCTTGAGGCTGTCGATATTGCTGCTCAGCTCGATTTGTCATGAATCAAGGATTCGGTCTTGCGAAAAGGCTGTTGGGAAATTACGGAGGTCCTCGGGACAGCCCCTGTCGCCCCCGGAAAAAGCCACGGTTAGCCGAAGTGAGGCCTGGAGGCGATACAAGGTCACCTGCCGGCAGAAGGGT